CCTGGTCAGAGTGCCATGTATTTAACTATTATTTATTGCTGAATGCTTACTTGTTATGGGGATGCCAGAATCTTGGCCAAACGGTTGGCAGCGAAAAGTTCTAACATCAGTTGTGCGCATAGCCACCGAATTCCTACGACTTTATTGAAAAACAGAATCCAAGCGAGTTTTACAAGTCATTAATAATGTATTAAATATAATTATTTAGTAAATGATAATTTATCGTTCGATCACATCTTTGTTATAGGTGGTTAATTATGTCAGCCTCGGGGTTGCCAGTCCCGAAATGTTAATCATCGATGGAAAACGGACCAGCGAAATGTGCCTTGCCTTGACAAAACTGTCTCTCGACGCAGAATGCGACTAAAGCACAGCATTCCTACTTTGTTTCGCTATTATTGATTTTATTGGCAGTTGTTATTTTTACTGTTATTCGCTACTCTGATGTACATAAGTGTGCGCGGGTTTGATCCCGACCGAACCAAACTTAAAGCTTTCCGGGCAATGTCTACTTTTGTCTGATAGCCATTTGAACTGCGCTGCTTGCTGTTTTCTCTCTCATTAAGCGTGCTTTGTTTTGAAACTGCTTTGTGCAATAGAACGTGTTCAGTGGTGTGACTAAAGCAGACCTATAACCGAATATAGAAGAGTTTCTAGACATCAAAATATGTTAAATAAGTTTCACGGATTATTGCCACGTCCCCCTCCTCTTAGCTCCAGGTGCAATGAAAAGTAATACCCTGTAATGCCAGATGCAATGCATCTCGCTCCAGTTTGTTCGCTGTAGCTGCCTCGCATTCATGCATTCACGAACGATGTTTCAGAAGCTGGTACTCCTTATATGCTAAGGAATAAACGTATATGTTCGTATGTCAAATAACGCATAAGACCTGGGCGTATTGGAGCGTCCCCTTACTCCTAGTTTCCTAGGGGCTATTCAGGCAGCCCACGTCATTATCATATACTCCGGCAGAGCATGTCGCATCAAAAATGAACAAAACTGTTTAATATGAACATTTTTAGCGAATACATAAAAATTACAAAACAGTTCCCTACATATTAAACGTTGTTATTAAAATATTGAGGACTTTAGATATCCCAGCTTTAAGATAAACTTTAACGAGATCTTCATTACTGCCGTAAAAATGGAGAAGGTGCATATACCCAAATGAATTTGAAGGAAAGAGAATAAAACCAGCTACATATAACGGTAAGGATGGTGAACACTTGAGAAACTACTCCTAAAGTAATAAGAAACGGAACAGAGCAGTACAGCAGCAACAGCAATAAATGACAGTGCCGAAATATGAATGTGACGTGTATCACAAATACAGTGCCAAAGATCAGATCAGAAGAACTTTCTGTGAATCACCCGAGGGCCTTCTTCCTCGTATTCCTTCTTGGATACCCACATCTTTCGGAACGTGTCTAGACTGGCTAAAATCGAGCCACCGATCCAAGTCGAATACTGTCGCTCTTGCGGAGCAAAGATCTTGATTTTGATATCTTTCGGAGCGAGTTTCTTTACCTCGTTTAGAAGACGATCACCGAAGCCGTGAATCATCGTGCTGCCGCCGGATAACACTATATTCTGGTAAAGGGTCTTGCGTAGTTCAATATCAGACTTTTGTACGCTGCCGATCAGACATTCGTGCACACCATCGTATTCCTCACCGATCAAATCCGATCGAAAGAGTACCTCAGGCGCTCGAAAACGAGCCGGACCTATTTCGACGACGCTTCCGTCCGGCAAAGTATATGATATCTAAAAATAGCACTTCAGAACTGAAACGTCAATGGAAGTAGAAACCTTTTCGTTTTCCAGAGATTCGTCCCGGTTCGGATTGGTCGATAGGAAACACACTTTCTCCTTGATTGTGCGATGCAGCTCCAGTTCACAACTGCGATGCAGGTCGATGCCTTCCTTCAGTAAAAGGAAACGGAGAAAACGAGTGACGTCACGGCCGGCGATATTTGACCGCATGATGCTGTGCGGTATCACGAAACCTTCGAAGATCGGCACCGCTTGCGTGACGCCGTCACCGCAGTCCAGAACCACACCCGTTGTTCTTCCTGCAATTCTATCTCATCAAAATAACAATAGTCTAAGTACTGCCCAAGGCTTACGGTTCAAATTATTGCCAATTTACAATATTGCCGCTTAGCTACAGTACGACAATAACAGGGGCCATGCTGAAGATATAGCTATTAATATCCTTCGTTATTATCGCATTCACGCTGTCCCCATGCTTTTATGTGCCTAGTAAACTTTGCAGCAGGTCATGATTACACGAAACTTGAGTACCTACGGTGAATGCGTGGATGTCATACCGCATCATGATGTTGGGCCACAGAAATATGCGTTAGAACACCAACCGAAATGGCAATTTTTTGGTACTTATATACATAGCGAATGACCGAAATATGCCAGCTGACAGCCGTCCCAATATTTTCTCTTAGTATGCTAACCGGTAGCAGTAGAAACTAATTTAAGCTAGTAAATCTGGTTATTTTCGATATTAATACATACACTTAAAGGAATAGGGCCTGTGACCTTCTGATCCTTTATAAGTATGAAGTGCCTCATCGATAGCATGAACTTTTTGTAGACATCGAAAGATTATTGATTCGTTGCCGGCGTGAACAACAACATCCCATCCTCATCCATGGTTCAAGGCGAAAAAAATCCTTTATTTGCTGACAAGTTTCGACGCCGCACACCAGCGTCATCTTTAGAATTATAGTAAAACAAATGACTAACTATATGCACTGTATCATACTGTTTGTACTTTTACTATATATTCATCATACTAAATCGAGAAATAAACAAGAAGGTGCAAAAATCTTTTCTCTGCAGTCCAGCAAGCATTACTGGACCAACATGGGTACCAAGCAGCCAAAGATAGCGAATGGACGAAC